ATTGTCCGATCGAATGACGGACCAAATGGCGAACAAAGTGACGGACCCACTGACGATCCAACTAACGGACCGGCTGATCGACCTACTGACGATCCGACAGACGGACCGACTGACAATCCAACTAACGGAACGAATGACGATCCAACTGACGGACCGGTTGACGGACCGACTGACGATCCAACTGACGGACCGACTGACGATCCAACTGACGGACCGGTTGACGGACCGACTGACGATCCATCTAATGGACCGATTGTCCGATCGAATGACGGACCAAATGACGATCCAACTGACGGACCGACTGACTTACCGACTGACAGACAGCCAGGGCCATCAACGAGTCCTTTGTGGTCGGCCTCGAGAAGACCGCGGACACAGTGGCCGACTATACCGAACCATCCCAGTTGCATGCTGTGCACACTCACCTTTCGGTTGATCTGAACGTCCATTCCCATATCTTGGACGCGGTTCGCCATTCTGTAGGAGTTCAGGAGGCCAGTCGAGGCACAGAAGAGACTGACAAGTCCGGGCAACCGCGATGACTAAGACGAGTAGGCGCTACGTCGGTTGAACTGACCGACCGTTGAATGTGTGAGGATGGCAGACGGGCAATACGCGGCACCGGCAGGGTACAGACGGATCCAAGATTAGGTGGAGCTGTAGGCAGGACAGTTTGATCTATGAGAAGGCATCAGGAGGCGCACGCCGAAAGGGGGTGAGAGAGAGAGACAAGTGGAGATACAGAGAGACAAAGATGACAGACGCATCGGTTGGGCCAAGACGACAGAGGCAGACCACGAAGCCGAGAATAGAGCGTCAGGTAGCCCGAGACGGCGGTTCGTCGGTCCAGCCCACGCTAGTCGCTGATTGGCTGTCGGCTGGCAACACTAAACCGGCAGTGAATCCACCTCCTATCGATCCCGTGAATACAGCCCTCCCAAACACAGACTAACCCTACCGGCGAATCGATTCTGGACCGCGCCACCATTGGCTGGCCTCTTAACTGGACGACACTGGTACGCATCTCTCCTCTCGCCCCGTCGCTGGAGTCGAGGTCGCTGTCGCGGC